TTCAAGGAAGGGGTGGGGCTTCAAGGAAGGGGCGGGGCGGTAGATCTTCGCCTGTTCTGAGATTTAAAAAGTGATCTTCGGTGTAAAAAGGTTGGAGACCACTGCTGTACAGTTATCCGTGTGTTTGATCCAAAATATAATTGGTTAATCTCTCATATTGAATTCACTTCATATAGCTAGTAAATATATGTGGGGAAAAAACTAAACCTTAATTGGGGCTTCAAGGAAGGGGCGGGGCGGTAGATCTTCGCCTGTTCTGAGATTTAAAAAGTGATCTTCGGTGTAAAAAGGTTGGAGACCACTGCTGTACAGTTATCCGTGTGTTTGATCCAAAATATAATTGGTTAATCTCTCATATTGAATTCACTTCATATAGCTAGTAAATATATGTGGGGAAAAAACTAAACCTTAATTGGTCTACAAAATGAATCTATTAAAATATTCTATCTGGACACTTGAAAATTGAAACATTGCTTTTAATAAAAGTTATATGGATGACACAACACAACAAAGACAGATTAAATGCATATCCATTAAAATATATGTAGTCTTGATATTAAATGGCATCTTGTAAACATAAACTGAAACACTCCCCACTTCTGATTTGCCTGTAGTACGCTTTCGGACAACATCTGGGCTAGATGCAGCAGTCGATCCTATTCAGATGAAAAATGTCACCTTTGAACACGTTAAAGGAGTAAGTTCAAAAAATTAGCTTTGCGTGGATTACTTGTTACCAAACTGAAAACATGAAAATCTATGGTTTATAGAATAATAAAATTGTTTTGCACTGAGGATAAATGATAAACCTAGAAAAGCAAGGAATTGAAGACCAGCATGGCATTTTTAAATTGTCCTATAGTTAGTAGAAAGTCAACAAGGTTTTAGAGGCCTAAGTAGCTGCCAACTGATTTTTGTTTTCTATAGGCAGAGTGATTGAGGGGAGGAGGCAGTCCATGAAATGTGTTCTATCTTCCTGGTACAAAGTAGCCAAGCATAAGTATATGATGAGTGACAGGTCTGCACCCACAAGCTATAAGAGTGCTTAAGTGACACACAGTCACTACCCAAAGCTACTGCTAAGAAGTCAGAATCGGAATGCATTTGTTTCTGATTTCCCTAACGACTTAATAGGAAGCATTTTCAATGGCTCATTATTTACCTGTGCTAGAAATTCCTATTGCATCTCTACTGCAAAAGTAATTTTTGATAGTCTCATTAGAGAGAACTTTGGCATTGACTTCAGTAATACTTTGCTTTGTCATGGGATATGGTGGTTTTAATTTTTTGTATGGTAAGAACATTATAAAATATTTAACTTGCTTCTTGAAGCATTGACTACACTCCATTTAATGCATTTTTCCGATCCATTGTTTTGCTTCATTTTTATGTGAGCTGTTGCTGCAATCTGAACATACCTGCTCAGTGCCTAGCATAGATTACTTCCACAATTTTTGTCCACAGTTATGTGTAACTGTATCAAAATAACTGCAGTCGTTTATAACTATCACATTTCCTTGCATATTTTAATGTGTAGGTGGAAGAAGCTAAGCAGGAATTGCAGGAAGTTGTAGAATTCTTGAAAAACCCTCAGAAATTTACTGTCCTAGGAGGCAAACTTCCAAAAGGTCAGAACTTCATCTAAAATATATAATATTTTAAGAATGTTACTTCAGTAGTAAAAATTGGAACTTAACATGGGTAGATGTGTTTTGTCTGTCACTTGTAACTCTGAAATTTTTTTTGATCATATCAGACATTTGTGCTCATTGAGGCGTAAATCTGTAGTATGTTTTATAGCTTACTAGAAGGAAGACTTATTCAGCATTGCCTGGGAGTATTGGGGATCTTGCTGTCCTGCTGCCAGCTTCTGTCTGGGGCACAGGCCTCTCACCCACTTCTGCCTGGGCCAAAAGCCTCATCTACATGCCTCTGTCGCCAGAGGCACGTAGTCTAGACGTAGCCATATACTGATGAATGACCCGGGGGGAGGGACGGGCGGGAAGAGCCGCAAAAGCGCCAGCTCTGGTGAGCAGCCAGAGGCATATAGATGTTGTCAGAGGCATATAGATGAGGCTACCAGGCATAGGAAAATGAAGCGGCGATTTAAATAATCGCCGCTTCAAACAGCTGATCAGCTGTTTGTCGGCTCAGCGCTGTAGTCTGGACACACGGGTGTCGACATCAAAGGCATTTGTCGACCACCCAGGTAAGCGCTGAGCCGACAAACAGCTGATCAGCTGTTTGTCGGCTCAGCGCGGCAGCCATGTAAATTTAAATGAAGCAGCGATTATTTAAATCGCCGCTTCATTTTCCTATGCCTGGTAGCCTCATCTACATGCCTCTGTCGCCAGAGGCATGTAGTCTAGACGTAGCCTATGTCTCCTCCGTGCTTGCTGCTCCCCTGTGGTTATTTGTGAGTCTAACTGTCTCTGCTAATATACCCTCTCACTTTCCATGTGATGTGAAACAGATACATTCCACCCACATCCCATTGTCCTGGCACAACCAAATCCTGACCTTTCTTTAATTTATGCTAAGAGGAAGCTGCATATCAAATTTGATGGGCCTAGCTCTTACTGTTTAGGAGGAGTTCTTGAACAAATGGGCTCACAGATGGACAGACACACAGATGTACAAACTCTAAAATATATTGTAGAAAAATCCACCTGAGTTAATACAAGAAACTTAATATGTTTAAAAAAGAGGCAATGTTTATGCTATTCTAACTTCAAAAGGTCTCTGCCACATTTACTGAAACTCCCCCAGAACTCTTATATTTTCTCTCAGTCCAAATTTGGGAAACAAGAAATTTGGTGAGGTTAGGCTGTCTGATTTAAAAAAAAAAAAAAAAAAAAGTTCAGAAAATGAGTGGGCTAGAATGGAATGGTTCTTTACATCTTAAAATCTAGTCTTTTACAAAATTGAACAGTTGTTGAAAATGGTTGGCTTCTTGTTCATGACAACAGAAAATGTTTTAGACTGGACACAGTGGTTACCACCATTTCCGTAAGTACGATTAATACTTGATGGAACTTGTCTAGAGTTAGACTACTACTAAATCTTAGTGCTGTGAAATGATCTTGCCATGTCTGTGCTACCACTCAAACTGTTTTCAGTAACCGTTTAGGAGGACTTATAACTGAAACCCACTTGCAACTATGGTTCAATTGTCTAATGTACATTGGCCTTCAGTTTATGGAATTTTTCTCTCTTACACAGAGCAAGACTCTGTTTAGGTCAAATTATTTTCAGCTAACTTTTGAAATGGTTATAATTATACATTTTAAACAATTATATTTGTTTTTCTCTTTAATTCTTTTAGACAGGCTTTGAATCATCTGTGAAGTTTAAATGAGTCATCAGTGTTTCCTCTAATGTTTTCCATTCTTGATCAGAATAAATTTTCTTCTGTTCACCAATGTGAAAGTGATATGCAACACATCATCTTCTTATTGGTGCACATAACAAAATTCATGTGGTACGAGTGGGGCCAAGGAGTCTGGGGCAGTGTGTGGGAGGGTACTCAGTGTTGGGTGCTGGAGTGGGAGGGCTCTGTCTAGGGGAGCGAGCTCTAGGGTGGAGGTCTCAGCTGGGCAGAGGGTTGGGGTGCAAGGGTTCTGACTGGGGCTCTGGGGTGGAGTTGGGGACGAGGGATTTGGGGTGCAGGAGGAGGTACAAACTCTGGGCTGGGAGTATGGGCTTTGGGGTGGGGCTGGGATGAGGGCTTTGGAGTGCAGGAGGGGGCTCAAAGCTGGGGGGAGGGCTCAAAATGGGGTAGGGGGTTAGAGCTTGGGCTTATCAGGGCAGCTTCCTGTTGGGGTCAGCAGGGAGTGGCACAACTCTGCCCATTGCAGCAGTTTTGTGCTGGGGCCAGCAGGGAGGGGTTCCTGTTCACCGGCTCTGGCAGCTTCAGGGCTTGGGAGAAGAGCACTTTCCCCATTTCAGCCCTGTCCCCTTTATGGGGCTTATTGGGAAGCTGTGTGGCTGCACACCCTAGAGGGAACTCAGTCTCATTGATGCACACTACTTTATAGAGAGCATATCATTGATTATCTAACTATATATTTTAGAAATGTGATTCTGTCTGTCCATCTGTGTGTGAGCTTGTTTGTTCAAGAGCTTCTGCTAAACGGTAAGAGGTAGGGCCACCAAATTTGGTGTGAAGCCTCCTCTTACCATAACTTCAAGCAAAGTCAGGGTTTGCTTATACCAGAACAACGGGATGTGCACGGAATGTGGGTTTTTTTTCCTTATAAAACAGAAGGGGAGTAATATGATAGTAGGGACAGTATACTCACACATGACCTGGGCAACAAAGCACAGAGATAGGAATGATGACAGGGAGGGCAGCAAGCACCCAGTGAGCAGCTGCTGGCTGGTAGAACCTATGACTCCAGCCAGCTCCGGGGAGCACCACCGCAGCAACCTTGGGATTGCCCCGGACCAGCAGGTGGCCTGCACGACTCTCCTCCTCGGACCCATGCTGGCTCCTGCAACCTCCTGGAGGCCAGGGTGTGTGCCTCTCCCTTCCCAGGACAGCCCTGGGAGGAAGCAGGTGATCATAGTGCACCTGAAGAGAAGCTGGAGGGTAGGGTGCACAGTCCCCTCCCTGCCCGCCCAGAGCTGGCTTCCGGGAGAAACTGGCGGGTAGGATGTGCTTATTTCCTTCTCCCTCTGCCCCAAGCTGGCTCTGGGAGAAGCTGGCAGACAGGGTGCACAGCCCTGGGGAGAAGCCAGCAGCCACTCCACCCTCCATCCCTTCCTTGACCTTGCCTTCCTTTCAACCCCTTGTCCAGACGCCTGCAATCTCTATCTCCTGCCCTGAGTCCCTCTGTACTTCCTCAACCCTGACTCCCACACTGCCCCACATCCCATTAATAATTTAACCAATCACAGTACCATGATATTAACCTAGATTGTTATAAACTGGGTATATTCCCACATGTAAGGAAAGGAAGCACTGTTGAAGGAATCTAACATAGCTATTTAGAAAAAATTGGAATTATCAAAAAGTTGACATTGGTAGAATTTCAGTAGTAGTAGTGTATATGGTAGTATCTAGATTTTATTTGGCAATATGCTTCTTTTAAAATTTAAGGATCTGTTGTTTCCATGCTTCAAATATGGATCAAATAATAAACCTCATCTGTAAATCTAAGTCCTGCTATGCTGCAATTATGTCAAAATCTTGGTTGAGCAGTGTTTGAAATTGAATAGTAAGATATCATTGAAGCTAGTTGTAAAGTTTTTATAAAAACTTGGAAGGTAAGAGTTACCATATGGCAGAGTTTTGTTTATGGTAATATGCATCTTTCTTCTGTCAGGTATTTTGTTAGTTGGACCACCTGGTACAGGCAAGACCCTTCTTGCCCGAGCTGTGGCTGGGGAAGCCGATGTTCCATTCTATTATGCATCTGGGTCAGAGTTTGATGAAATGTTCGTTGGTGTTGGAGCCAGTCGAATCCGAAATCTGTTCAGTAAGTTAATTTTTGAGTTGAGTTATTTTCTGTTCCATTAACACTTAAAGTTGACTGTTTGCTAGTGCTATTTAAAAGTGTCAGGTGTACATACGTTAATTGCATAAAATACTGTCTGCTGAAAAGTAGCAGTGTCTAATGGCAAGAAATATACTTCCACTCTGGGCCAGTTTTCCAAAACTAGCAGGATTCGTGAGTGGCCACTAACTAGAAGAACCTCCTATCTTTAATTGTCAACATTAATTTATACTATTTCCACCACATTGAATAACTTATCAAAACGTATTTCCACATCTCAGCCTTTCATAGACAAAGGGATACTGTCCACTTAAAATCATAAGTGTTGTTTAGAATATCATTTAGCTGTTGTCACAAGTAGGTCCCAGCATTACTAAACATGACTAGGGCTCCATATCTGTCACAGATTTTGTCACTTTCTGCAACAGTCAGTATGGATGATCATTGGTCCAGCTAAGCGGATGGCCCCCTGGGGGTGCCTCTTTCCCCCAGCAGCGCTGCCTACACCTATTAGGGATATTAGAGTTTAAATGGTTAACCAATAAGCTGATGCTTATCTGTTTCTGTTACCATTTAAGCTCGGCTAAGGAGCATGGGTGGGAAGCCTGCAGGGCTGGAGTCTGCAGAATTTCCACTGGTTACAGAGTTAATATTTTTTGGACATTTTTTTACTTAGTCATGGGTATTTTTTGTAAAAATCATGGACCAGGTCATGGGGTGTGAATTTTTGTTTATTGCCCATGACCTGTCCGTGACTTCTGCAAAAAATACCCATGACTAAGTATAATACTTAGTAATGAGTAAGGAAGAACTTTTTTTAGTTACTTATAATGTTTTATTTATATTCAAACAAAATGTCAGTCTTCACTTTTGAAAAAACCATGAGGAGTCCTATTGCACCTTAAAGACTAACAGATTTATTTGGGCATACGCTTTGATGGGTAAAAAACACTTTTTTTTTTTTTTTTTCAGATGGATGGAGTGGAATAGGGAGTTACTTAACAAGTGTAAGATCAGTGTTAACAAGGCCAATTTAGCCAGCTCTGATGGGGCTCACTCCTAGCAGTTGATGGGGAGTGTTGAATACCTAGAGAGAGAAAATTGCCTTTGTAGTAAGAACCATTCGGAATTATTATTCAGTCTTAATTTGATCATGTTAAATTTGCAACTCAGCAGCTCTGCTGTTTCTCTTTGCAGTCTGATTTGAAGTTTTTGGTGTTTTTTGTAGAAAGATGGTTACTTTTAAATCCATTATTGAGTGTCCAGGGAGGTTAAATTGTTTCCTAGTGGTTTTTGTGCATTGCCTTCTTTGGTCTGATTTGTGTCCATTTATCCTTTGACACAGAGGATTGGTTGGCTTGGCCAATATACATTGCTGGCACATGACATATATTACATTTGTAGATGTGTGACTAGATGAACACCTGCTGGTGCGGTTAGGTCCAGTGATGGTGTTGCTTCTATAGATATGTAGAGTTGGCAACAGGGCTTGTTGCAGGGATAGGTTCTGAGGTTAGTGTTTTTGTGGTGTGGTGTGGTGGCTTCTGATGACTCCTGCTTTATTTTTGCAGATACTAATTTAACACAGCTACCCCTCTGAGACTAGTCTTCATGTTGACACTTTCCTTATATTTTGTATTACCTTCCTTTTTCTTTTCTCCCTAAAATGAAAGTGCTGTGGTGCAGGTTATGTCTTCCTAAAGGTGTACACAATGCTTAGCACACTGTGGATACTATTGTGCTATAATAAACAATAATTTGACACGAGTTTGTGTGTAGCCAGTTTAATTGTTTTCACAGTATAGTAATGTTCTCCTTTTTGTAACTTACAAAGCAAGAGAAAAAACATGTAGTTTTACCATTTTCTCCACTTTTTAAACAAAGTAGTAAGCAGCTCAGGCACAAGTATAGTATTTGAAATTAAATTCTTTCTTTAACCATTGTGTCTTTAAAAAAGTGAGTAAAATGTGCATAATGGAGAGAGCACTGAACTGGGGCTCAAAAGAGCTAGTTTCTTTTCCCAGCTCTGTCACTGACCTGCTGGATGATCTTGGTTGAGTCACTTGACCTCTCAGCCCCAGTTTTCCAGTCAGTAAAATGGGGAGAATGATCCTTCCTTCCCTTGTAAAGTGCTTTGAGATTTGTTGTTGGAAAAATGCTGTGTAAGAGGAAAGTGGCATTACATTATTAAATTAAGCAGATGTCAACTTGATTGTCCCCTTCGTTACAAAATGTAATTGAAGGTAGAATCTATTTATATACTATTTAATATCTGAATAATCAATTTAATTTAGTTTAATATATTTTTGTCTATCATGAGAGTGGGCTAATTTTGGGAAAATACAAGGCTTTATAAAATTTAAGTTTAATAGAAATGTTCCTCTGTGGTGGTTGCCTCAGAGACTAAAAATGAACGGTTGATTTAAGGTGTACCCTTTTTTCATCTCCATATGTCTGTAGAATTGAAGTAAATATTTTGATAGGCAATATTTTATGGGATTCTTTATTTCTCTCGCTCATCATCAAATTAAGGTCAATACAGTTAATATCTCAACATCCCCTTTCTTATTCACAACAACAGCCTCTGAAAGTGAATTTTATAGAGGCACTAGGAAAATTGGTAAGGCCAAATATTGACTTTTTGCCTTGACAGTTGTCACTTTACTGTAATCACTTTCTGATCTGTAGATGCAAGTTTTCCTGAACAGATGGTATTTAAAAGGAAAATCTAATCTAAAATGCTTAGTACACGTGCACCTGTTTGTGGTCTGAATATTAAATTAGTGGGGAATTTTCTAAGGCAACTATTGCTTTTGAGTGGACAGTATTAATTAATACCTATAATTTTGAAGGTGAAACTTTTGTTATGAGAGCTGTATTATACCTTAAGTTCCTTGATCTTGACAATGTTTCTGTGTTAATGGGTCACAATTTTATATCTATTTATTAGAATTGTTCATTACTTGATATTTGTGTAAATATGTAACCACTTGAGCACTGGCTCCCACCTGCCACCTCCCCTGCTGCCTTTGAGAGTTGGGGAGGGGCAGACAGGTCTGCAGAGCTGGAATTTGCTGAGAGCTGGCTCCCCACGCATTACAATTGCCTCACTGCCTGATACAGAAGCACCAAGGGGGGAGGTGTGTGTAGTTGATAGGATTAACCAATAACCCCAGGCTTAATCGTGTAGTCAACTACATGTTGACATCCCAACTACTACTTATACTGGAAAAATGCATTTGATATCAAATATGAATTTGTTAATCTGTGTTGATGTGTTTCCCCCAAAGATATTGGTTCATTGACTGAAATAAGTGTAATTCTGGTCACAGTTGGCAAAAATTAAGAATCCTAAAACAGTGGAATAATAGAATAGTAATAATAGAATCCTAAAATAATAGGGAAAAAGTTGGATATAGTTTTTAGATATGGAATACTTTGATTTCAAATGTTCTTAAGCTTTTTTTATTTGGTAGGGGAAGCAAAAGCAAATGCTCCCTGTGTTATATTTATTGATGAGTTGGATTCTGTTGGTGGGAAGAGAATTGAATCTCCAATGCATCCTTACTCAAGACAGACTATCAATCAACTTCTTGCTGAAATGGATGGGTAAATATTTTTTCGTTCTTTTTTTGATAAGCCAACCTTTTCTATCTAGATAGTTTTAAAATATAGACTGAGATATTGCTTCTCTTAAAGTTGAGATTCGAGACTCTTCAAAATTGAGACTCAGTTAAAAGTTAGATAATTTAAATAATACATATCAATTTTATCAACTCTTTATGCCATCAGGAATAGTAGAGCAGTGATTCTGATGGGAAAAAAATGAGGGACCAGGTTGAAGTAGCAACATAAATGAAATTGCACTTACTTTGGGAGGAAGGAGCTGGATGGAAGGTGTGCTATCTTTAAAATGAAAAAAGAATTAGAGAGAAGGTAGGGGAATTAAGGAGGAGGGGAATAAGAAATCTGAATTGGAGCATTAGCTGGTTTAGTGCCTGTAGAGCACCAACAGGATTTAAAATTACTAGTGAAAGCTTCAGGGGAACTAGTGAGGGAAATGCTACTTTCCCTTTTCAGGGATGAATACTTCCTTCCCCTGTAGCCCCAGGATATACAGGATGTCCCCGCTATAAGTCATCCCAGTATACATCCATTCTGCACTAAAGTTATTGATGCTTGTAGAAACTGATGTGTTATAAGTCCTCCCATTTCTCTGCTCTTAAGTCATGCTCAAAAAACTCCAGTTTGTGCAAATGGGAGTCAGCTGTGGGGGCAAAAAATCCACGCTTTAAGTTGTTTCCCTGTTAAGTCCAAGTTTTTTGCACTTATAGCAAGGACAGCTTATAGTGGCTTAGTAAGTGCCAGAAAAGCTATGTTCATCAGCTTTGCTTAACTTTGTCTTGATCCTCTGATTCAAACAGATGCATTTGGAAGGTGTTTTCATTGGGATACAGACCTTGAGAAGCAGAACAGTATTTATAGGGTTTAAACCAAATAAAATCCAAGGTGGATTGATTTAAATCCAGACAATTTACATTATTGATTTAAATCACATCTTATATCACCAAGATGAAAAAAAATCATTTGATTTAAATCAAGTTTTCCATGGATACCTTTACACACATTTCTTAAAAAATGGTGCAAATCTGATCACTAAACCATGTTAATTTACAACTCAGCTTTTTACACTATCTAGGAGGGCATACTTTGTGTAATTTTTTTAGATAGCTTGATTTTTATTAATTTAGAAAATAGTACACAATACTCTACTTGTGATAACCTGCAGATGCAGCAGCAGTACATTAGGAAAGAGAACTAAATCACATACACACAAACACAATAGCACTTATATTTTATCAGCTCTATTGTAGCTATTACATAAATGTTTCATATTTACAATTGCAGTAGTCTGCTGAGTTGCTGGCAGATGGTTGTCATTTTTTTGTAATTTTCAAATTTTATTAAATCTAACAGATAAGTCCTTAGAACACTAAATGTATGGTGTCATTAAAACTTATACAACTAGCTCTCATCTTTCCCACTCTGATTGTCACTTTGATTCAGAGACTAAAACAGAAATAGAAGTTTTCCTGCTTTTTCAACTCTTAGTTGATTTCTTAGCTTTGAGTGAATAATATCCAATAGGGATGTAAGCGACTAGTTGACTATCCGTTAAGCATTTGCTTATTCGATAGTCAACTAGTGATTCGACTACTTGCTTTCCCCCACCTTGCTGTTTCTATCAGAGAGAGGCAGCAAGGGAGGAAGGAGCAGAATCCGGTGCTGGGGGGAGCCGGTTTAAAAGCCAGTTCCCCCCCAGCACTGTTTCCGTGGGGCAAAGGGGCAGGAGTGCAATGGGGAACTGGCAGTGCTTCCGCCTTTGAAACGTAGCAAGAGCAGGACTCTTGTACATTTCACAAACAGAAGCACTGCGGAGAGCTGGGGACTCAATCTCCTGCTGGCCCCATGCTCCTGGTGGCGCTTAAATTAAATTAATGGGGATTGCCTATCTCCTAGAACTGGAAGGGACCTTGAAAGGTCATCGAGTCCAGTCCCCTGTCTTCACAGCAGGACCAAGTACCATCCCTGACAAATTTTTGCCCAAATCCCTAAATGGCCTCTGCAAGGATTGAACTCACAACCCTGGGTTTAGCAGGCCAATGCTCAAACCACTGAGTTATCCCTCCCTCCCAGTGCTCTTATATATTTCAAAAGCAAGGAGAACGGGACCAGTGCGGAATCCTTGAGTCCCCCGCTATCCGCGCTCTTTGCTGCACTTCCGCCGTTGAAATGTAGCAAGAGCCGACAGGGCTCTTGCTACATTTCAAAGGCGGAGACACCCTTATCGACTATGCACACTACATCGAATGTGCATTGAATAGTCTATGCACATTACATCGACTATTTTATTACTTGATTAATCTACATTTAACATCCTTAAAACCAAACAATGAAAATATTCTCTGTGCCTGCAGAGGACGCTACTGTTGTGTAAAGTTAGCAACTGAAGGAACAGTTTCAAGGTGCTTTGCTAATGATTTTCCCCAATTCAAGGAAGTGACTTTGTTCACAACATCATCAGTAAATGTACTGATTTAAAGTTTCACTCCAGCTCTGAGTTTTATTATGACTGGCATAACTGAGCAGTGATTTTGAGATGCCCATCCCATGGGTGCAGCAGCATCTTCAGAAATTAGGCGTCTACCTTTATATCTAGGGTTGGTAATGCCTGCAAGAAAATGAGATGGAGTTAGTGCTTGGTCCAAATTTGCTAGCTTATTGCCTGTAGTTTACGTTCTGGTGAGGTATTTCTTCCATCAATATCTCTTGAAGTGCCTTCCAAATTTTGAGAGCATTAGCAATGCAGCAGCAATTTCTTCTTTGAGTGACGTCCCCATAGGTGCTCCACTCTGGTGCGGATTTGAAGGTTTGGTCAAGAACCAGAAAGACATCTCCATTGCTGTCACACCACCAACCAGACAGCTACAGTTCAACCACCGCCTCCAGCCCTTTTTACACTAATGGGTACAAAGCCACACACTGATCCATCCCAAGCTGCATGGCATCCCAAGCTGCATGGCATACCTGCATGGCATACCCTCAACATCCACAGAGCACTCGTGTTCTACATAGATCGAACAAAATTATGGAGCATATCCCCCAGACTCTTCTTATCCTTTGCCGAGCATTTCAGTGGCCAAGCAGTCTCCTGCCAGAGGATTTCTAAGTGGATCTCATCATGTATCCCCACATATTACATCATTCATAACAAACAACCACCAGGCACTATCACTGTCCACTCGACCCAGGCCATGGCCTCAATTACTGCCTTTCTAAAAAATGTACCTCAGAAGGACATTTGCAAAGCAGCCACCTGGTCATCTGACCACACATTTGCAAAACACTATACGCTTACCTTGGCCATTACTTCATCTATGGCAGTTGGACAAGCGGTCTTATCTTCAGTGGCAGGGCTTCAACCCTGCCTCCACAACTTGACTACTGCTTTGTAGTCACCCAGAGTTTAGCACCTATGAAGAAATGAGTTACTCACCCTGTGCAGTAAGGGGGGTTCTTTGAAATGTGTGTTCCTGTGGGTGCTACACTACCCACCCTCCCTCCTCCAGCTTTGAAGCCTTTTGGCCTACTGGTAAGGGTAGAGAAGGAACGGAGCGGGCGGCGCTATGTACGCACCTAACAGACACCAGTGGCACGAGGAGGCACCAGAGCTCATGCACGGTGGGGTACTGCTGGACTAATCTCCAGTCGCTGGCATGAGGACGCACTAGTGCCCAGAGTGGAGCACTCACGGGGACAAACATCTTGAAGAACACACATCGCTGAAATGTAAGGTTATGGATATATTGGTATCTATATTCAGTATATTGGACATATCCTTTATATTTTTTTCATCTGGTGTTGGATACTTTGGATGAGATACTTCCGTCTGTTTTATCATAAGTCTCTTATGCTTAAATGGGATCCTGAAACAAAATTCAGACATGATTTTGAATAGTTATTCTTCTCAGTTCTTCTCACTCTATTATTCAGTTTCATTTACATTTTTTTCAGCAATATTGCAAATTCAATTTCAAATTACTAAAAAGGCTAAGACCTAGTGCACTTAAAGTGCACTTAATTTTGGAGTAAGCCACATTGAACTCATTGGCACATCTGTTTTTTGAGAAAACAAGTGTAGGATGGAGTTCCCTTGGAAAAGCTGAGTTATGCTGAAGTAAAATAGGGAATAAACATGGCATCATCATTATTGTTTGTGGCCATGATGTTCCAAAATAAGGGGCATGTGTTATGTAATATAAAAACAAAAAAATGACACCCATTGGCAATTGACAACTCTAGAGTTCTCTTACTGCAGCTTTCTATACTGTATACTTGGGTGGTAGTGTCTAAATGTAGTAACTAATCAAAAAAAAACCATAAGGATTAATGAAGACTTTTTTTCTAGCAACATCCAACATAGCAAATAACTTGAGAGTTGATTTGTTAAATCACACTTATACTAAAGGCATAGAGAGAGTCTTGAAGAATGATGCATTGCAAAATTAATTATTTGAGTTAATCTCTGTTCGTCTTCTACATCCACATCTTCATCCACAATTTTCTCTCAATAAGCAGTTTTACTTATGATGTTTCATTCTTGCAACTTGGCCCTACATCATCTTCATGCAGTGCTTACACCTGACAGGTTTTCCTTTTTTACTCAGTGAAGGAATCTCTTTAAAATATTCCCAGATAGAATCTCTTAACACCCAGAAGCTGTGACAGTTTTTCTGTGGCAAAAGTGGGGAAAATAGGAAGCTGTATGTGCACTGAATAATGTTGTGCCTTTTTCTTTCCAATCTATTTCACTGTTCATTTATATTCTGCCTCCAGCCTTTCTTATATATTGTGTCTCTGTCTTAAAGACTGTCTTAATTAACTCCTCTTCCTTGCGTGACCCAGCTCCACCACTACATAAACACAAAACAGTCCTATCCATTCTGCGTGACCCAGCTCCACCACTACATAAGCACAAAACAACAGTCCTATCCATTCTATGTCTGTCTTTTTATATGTGACTTTTGTCTGCTGAGAAACAGAAATTGAAAGTCCAGAACTTGCAAGAAGCAAGAGCTGTTAGATTGGCTACATAGAGCCATTGAGTCATCTTTGTGAGTCTGTAATTGTAGGTTTTGCATGTTTATGATGAGATTTTATGTTTTATCAATTAAGCATATTAAAATCTGTTTTTTTTAAATAATGGATTTTTGTATTCAGTTGATTTTTTTATTCAATTGTTACAATCTAAATTCACCCCATCCCTCTTAACAAAGATTTTACCCTGAAAAGTGCTTACTTATCTGCATATTGTCCTCAAGGATAAGCTATAAAAGTTGTTTACCTACTTGGCCTAGGGAACTTGGCTTCTTCTTGTCACTTTGGCAAGCACTGCAGGTTTGGAATGTTCCTTCATCATTCTTCATGTAATAGTGCTTAACTCATGGTCAGTATGAAAATGCACCTGATAAAGAGGACAATCCTTCATTGTTCTTTTTTAGTGACATTTCATGATGCTTAGGGTCTAACTTTGTAAACTTACATCCTTTTACATATTTTTTAAAGCTTTAAGCCTAACGAAGGAGTAATCATTATTGGTGCCACAAACTTCCCTGAAGCATTAGATAAGTAAGTATAAAGTTTACATACCAGTTTCACAAATATGAATTAAAACTCCAATTCTGTAGTGTCGGGGCCTGTCTAACTAGATGCAATTATGATGATCTTCAGATTTTGAAAATGGTGTTAGTTATTTTTCCATCAAAAACTGTAGAAGCTGGCATTTTTAACATTTAAAGGCCACTGATTTAGAGGAAATCGGTAATATTAAGGGTTCTAGCGTGTTCTAGTAAGGGTTGTAAAAATGTGATTGCCAAACAACCACCACTTTGCAATCTGCCATGATGCATTGACAACTTGGTAAAGAGTCACACTGTAGTTGCATATACGTTTTTAGCAGTAATTCTATATATCAAAAATATGACTGCATCTCTTTGATAGATGGAGAAATTGATTTCTGCAAAAGTTAACCAGCAACACAATTAAATCAGCTTTGTCCGTGGTGTACAGATAGGTAGAGAGAGAAATGTGTTTCTAAGAGTCTTCACAAAATATCCATGTTAAGAAAATTAGATACGTTTGCTGTAACACTCTGTTAGTAACACTGTTCTTCAGATGTTAAAGCATACTTATTTACCATGTTTCTTTTTTCCTTAGTGCTCTAATACGTCCCGGTCGCTTTGACATGCAAGTTACAGTTCCAAGGCCAGACGTGAGAGGTCGAACAGAAATTCTGAAATGGTACCTTAATAAAATAAAGTATGATCAGGGTAAGTATAAACATTTAGCTGCGTGGGCTGGCATCTTTTGCAATCAGACTCTTGGTCCATCTAGTCCATTATGTCAGCAGTACTGACCTGAACCAGAGGTTTATCTAAATTTAGAGGCATGAAGAAAGTCTCAGGGGTAGCCGTGTTGATCTGTATCTGCAAACACAAAAAGGAATCATGTGGCACCATAGAGACAAACAGACATTAGGACATAAGCTTTGTGGGAAAAACCCACTTCATCAGATGAAGAGGCATGAGAGTTTGCCTTCTAAATCTTGTCTATTTTAATAATTACTATTGTTACCATGCATTCTCATTCATATAAATGACTAAGCCCTTTTGATGTTGTTTTGATAAACAGGAAACAATTCAAGGAGATAAGTGGTATCAATATCTATTCTTTTTTCATACAGCTATTGATCCAGAAATAATTGCACGAGGTACAGTAGGATTTTCTGGAGCAGAGCTAGAAAATCTTGTGAACCAAGCTGCATTAAAGGCAGCTGTTGATGGGAAAGATATGGTATCCATGAAGGAATTGGAATTCTCAAAGGACAAAATTCTCATGGGTAGGATTTTATGTATGCAAAATTAACCTTTTTAAGTGTATAGTGTTTTGTATTTGAGTGGGTTTATTGCATTTTGTTATCATTTTCAACTACCTGCTTCTCAATTAGATAGATGTTTTTAGGTGAGTGCCTACCAGCTATAGTGATGGGCACATTTGAAAGACCTGAGAGAGGGCTTTCAAATGCAAGGCTAACAGATGTTCTAATAATGTAATAGTATCAAGTACAGTAATGATAGCTACAGGCTGAACCTCTGTTGTCCAGGACTCTCTGGTCCAGTAACATCCGTGGTCCGTCAGCAGCTGGGAGCTCAACTGGCAGGGAGCATGGAGGGCCAGTGCCCTGGCGGCAGGGAAGGAGGGCTGGGTGGGGAGCCCCGGGAGCCAGGAGCAGAGCTCTGCTGCCCAGGGGCTGGGTGAGGAGCCCCACTGGTTTGGGGTACAGAACCACTGATGGCTGGAGCGGGTGGCAGCTGGGAGTCTGGAGCCCCACCAATGGGCCAGGGACAGTGCATTGGCTCGGTTGGTGACCAGGAGGGGAGTCCCAGGAGAACCCAAGGTCTGACCTTCTCTGGTCCAGCAAACTCTCTCCTTAGGGATCACTCGGGTCTTGAGGTAGTGGACCAGGGATGTCCAACCTGTAGTTATGTCAAAGCTTGTAATAGTTGCCATGGTAGTTCTATACAGATTTTGTTAGCAGTGTCTGTAGTGTGCTACATTGGGAAATCTAGAGTCTTGTCATAAAGACTGCTGGCTTTTAGGGACAGTTAGTTGAATCGTATTCAACATGCTTGGCATTTCAAAACCTCTGAAGCTAGGAAGTTAGGAAGAAATTAACATATTTCCAACCTTTCACAAATTGTAATAACCTTTCACAAATTGAAATGGTTTCCAAAGTGTACAATGACACTGGCTGTTGTTTATTCAGACAGATTATACAAAAATACAGTTATGAGAATTTTTCAATTGAGATACAGCATGCTGTTGTACAGATTTCAGTCAGAACCTCAGTCCTGTCACAAGAGCCTTCTGCTGTTCATTCCAACTTCGGGTAGGACCCATGTCGCCCAGAGAATTTGCAGTATGTTAACAGCAGTTTCAAACAGATTCTTTTAAATTTGTTAAAATTGTAAGTTTCATGTAGTAAGAATTGTCTTAGTGCCTATATGGTAATAAACCTGCTGTTAGCACTTTAAAGATAAATGGGAGGCAGAGGATCAATTAAAGGAGATGTGCTTCTTCCTTGTAAAGAAAGGAGGTGAATTATCAGAACTGTGGAGCAAATTTTGGTCTGAGTTTTATATAGTGAGATAAAACTTAGATGCCTGAGGTGCATATTATTCTGAAAACATTTTCTGATCCATTTATACTTTGTAGATTGAGTGAGATTTTTAAAAGCAATTGGGGTAGCCTTGCATTACTCCCATTAAAGTTAATTAGACTTCAGTAGAAGCAGAGTTTGGCCAATGCTGAGTCTTTCAGAAAATCCCTACTAGTAACAAATATACTGACAATAATTTGATTCTTATTTCACTATAATTCTTTATTAATCTTTTCCTTTTCATGTGTTTTAAGGACCTGAACGTAGAAGTGTAGAAATTGATGATAAAAACAAGACAATCACTGCATATCATGAATCTGGACATGCTATCATTGCATATTATACGAAAGATGCAATGCCGATCAACAAAGCTACAATCATGCCCCGAGGACCAACACTTGGACATGTGAGGCTTTTTAAAAATAAGTAACCTGTATAGTATTTACCTTTTTGCATTGTCAAGGAATTTCCCAACAACACTGTGACATAACAGGCATGTCATGTTGTTGTAAAATTACTGTAATAAACTAATATACATATGATATAAAAACAAGCTATTTAAAGAGAAAAAATCTTCTGAATTGCTTTTTCCACTTTTTCTTTTTCCTACAGCTGGGTTAGAGAAAAAGAGAAACTTCTCCTTAGATTCAAACTTGCTAGCCATGAATAACAGTTCAAACAACCAGGGAGGAAATATTATGTTTTAATGTGATTCTGAGCTAATACTGGTCTGTTTCTCTTCTAAAGCAACCAGAAAATCTCAGAGCTTAAAAACAGAGCTGCCTTCTGTAGAAACTTTCTTGGAAAAACATTGGTTGATACAAAGATATTTTGTCTAAAATCACTTGCTCGCTCCTTTTAGGACAGACCTTGCTCCTTCAGCATTTCTGTCCTGTCCTTTGAATTCTAAACTGGGCTATAGTTGAACAGAAAGGGATGTGTTCCGTATTCTGTATATTTGTCTTTTAATAGCCAACCAAACTAGCATAACATATCGATCCAGAAGCATATTGGCCATTGTCCAAACTGGTAGAGAACAAGATGGGGTGTCAATTGGTGTCTGCTATAGGCCACCAAATCAGTTTATGGAACAAGACAACCACTTCCTTATGCACCTATTTGTAATAAGCAAGGAAAAAAAGTTGAGATTGGGGAACTTCAATTTGAGTGACATACACTGGTGGTCCGTTGTATGCTGCTAGTCCTAAATCATATTCAAGTGTTGCAGCCAGCAGGTCGGAATTCTGTATTAGGATAAGGTGTAACAGCAACTGACAAGAGAAGTAAAAATTAATGGTAGTTTAGGTAAAAGTGATCATGATTTCAATTATGTTGTTATGTTTGTAATGTGAAAGCAAAATAAAGTCCAGTAAAAAATAAATACGCATGCACACATGTATGCATGCGGGCCAGTTTCACAAAGCTGAAAACAATTATGAGCCCAATCACTTGAAAGGAAGAATTTAATTGGAAAAATGTGAGTGATAATTGGGAATAATTTAAGAACACCTTACTATATGTCCAAAAAGCCCCAATTGAAGAAGACTGGACTAGTTAGAAGACTGACCTGGTTGAAGAGGGAAGTGAAAGCAGCTGTAAAAACAAAATAAAGAACAGGTAAGTTGCCAGTAATGAATATAAATCAGAACTTAAGAATTAAAATTAATAAGTGGCACAAGGAGAAATCTATGACCACAGTTATGGACCGTAAGGATTTTCAGATATGTTGGGGTATGTCTACACTGCAAAGTTAATTCGAACTAACAGCCGTTAGTTCGAATTAACTTTAATAGGGGCTACACATACAAACCACTAGTTCGAATTTAACTCAAACTAGCGGAGCGCTTAATTCGAACGAGGTAAATCTCATTCTACGAGGATTAACGCCTAGTTCGAATTAAGTAGTTCGAATTAAGGCCTGCCTCTCTCCCCCATCTTACCCAGTGGCCTGGCTGTTCTGTCAGCAGCCCTGCCTGAACCCTTACTACTTTTGCCTCTGTAGCCTGCATCCAGGTCTGGATCTGCAACTAGGAGAGACAGGGTCGGGCTTTCAACACCCCACTATTAAAAATGTTCTAGTGCCATTGGTGTTAAACCTATTGGGGAATGGGTGGTCCAGATCATGGCCCCCACAGCCCAACCTGTAGCTACTTCTCTGCTCTTTCAGACATTTTCAATCTGCCTAAAAATCGTCCGTTTTTTAGCAATAATGAAGTGATACTATGAGTCTGGCAATCAAAAACACAAAAAAATGAAGTCAAGGCAAAAAGACAATTTGTCATCTTTATTATAAAAATCTTGAAGTATTGAACAGAGGACATTCATCAAAAAGTATGGACGAGGAAACATCTCAATTATCTGATCATTTGCCGAGTTGAGGATACCGCAACAACTGCAAAAGTTTAACAAGTGGGCTCTGAAGTGGCAATGGAACCATAAAACACTGGTAATTTTATCGAAGTAAGGGAAGAAACCTACCCTCAAGACATTGCATGATAGTGAAAATCTATTTCATTGGAAGTGATAGACTTTTTCTTAGTAAATAAACTGAAAAACATAGGTAATATTGAAAATTAAGAGAAAAGTCTGAGGTTGGGGGCCGAAAGCAATTTAGAGGTCTTCATGAGTCCCATTTTCTGAGGATGAAGAAAAATGGGACCACAGAAATGAGAAATTGGTTGTTTTTTGGAAACCACCAAGGCAGTTTGCTGTCATGTTTGCAAATTATTCCCTGACCATAGTAAAGGAAATAAAACATTTGTCAACGGGCACTTGAATTGGAGAAATATTGCAAGAGATAATGCTAATCATGAGACTTCCAAAGCTCATATGAATGCTATGTGTAAATATGATGAAATATGTAAATTATCTGGAAGAATTGATTCTGCCTTATTGTCTCAGTTTAAGGGATGTTCTTATTGGAGGAAAGTGTTGAGATGTGTTGTTGCCACGGTGAAACTGCTGTCGTCTTTGGGACTACCTCTAACAGGATGTGCTGAGTCATCAGTGTCAAATCAAAAAGTTAAATTTTAAACCTGCCTTGAATATCTTAATGAATTTGATGATCTTGAATATCTTAGTGAATTTGATGATTTTTCTCAATGAATGTGGCTCAGGGAAAATCAACTTTTTAATGCACCAGACCGTCAATGAATTAATTAGTATAATGGCAAAGCAGCTCAGAAACCAATTCACTGGTGAAGTAAAAGATGCCAGTATTATTCCATAATGGTTGATTCAATACCTGATGTGGAGTCATGTAGATCAATTAACATTTCAATATATGTGACCGGCCGCAATGATGAAGTTGTAGAGCGATTTCTTTTTGTCCCACTAAAATCCCACACTTCTGAATGTCTAGAGACAACTTGTTTGGAAACCATTGCAAATTTATGATTGGACATCAACAATTGTCATACGCAGAGCTTTGATAATACTGCAAATATGGCCGGAAAATATTCAGGTCTACAGGCAAAACTTAATACAAATGCTTCCTCTTTATTCATACGATTTTCCAGTCATTCCTTAAATTTAATATACAACGCTAGAGCTGCATCTTGTGAGGGAGTAAACTTTTTTTTTTTACTTTGTTCAAAACACGTATGGGTTTGTTTTGTTTTGTTTTTGCATATTGGTGGAGTATGTTACAATCACATTTGGAGCAGGCAAATGGAATATATTTGACAGTCAAAACATTTGTAACACTAGGTGGTCTGCTCGTGTAGATGCTTTTTTGACTTTGAACATGAAATATGATGCTTTAAAGAGAACTTTTAGATATAGCTACATCAAGTTCTGGAAAACCACATTCAAAAACTGAAGCAAAATCCTTAGCAAAAAAGTTCAAAAAGTATGATATTGCTGTTTTTACTATTTTCTGGAACTTCAAAGAATTAATGCCATCAGCAAATCACTGCAAAAAGTTGATACGCATTTATTGAATGCTGCACAATTGTTAGCCTCAGTTACAGGTTCTGTCATAGAAGTTGGAAATGACTGTAAGTCTGTAGCAGCAGAAGTGCTAACATGAACAGAAAATATAGGTTTTACTGGTATATCTGATGAGAAGCATAAAAACCCACGAATTTATTTTTCGATGCAACTAGAGCAATGAAATCAATTAAAAATGGAATGAGAAGATCATCATTGAGACTGTCAGCGTTATTTGTGACACAATAATAGTGCAATTGCAGAGTAGAGGTGAATCTCTAAAGAAAAGCGTTGATTTATTTTGCATGTTTTTTGACAGAAGTATGGATGAAGATGCTAAAAGTCACTACCGTAAGAAATTAAGTGAATTCTACCAAGAGGACCTAGACAGAAATCTTTTTGAAGATGCAGTGAAACATTTAATTCATTTTATCAAAAATGATGAGGTCTGTGCTTTGAGATCACCAGTTGATTTGTATAGACTTGTACATGACGGTTTGCAGTCAACCTTTCCAAATGTAGAAAACAATTTGAAAATATTTTAAACAATATCTGTTACAAATGCTTCTGGTGAATGTTCTTTTTCTGTATTGAAAGGAATTGAAAATTATTTGTGAAATATGTCAGCAAGATTTGACAAGTTCAGCAATATTGACAATTGACAGTTTCTTCAGTGGAAGATTACTTTTATTTTTCCATTCATGCATCATGGTGCATTTTAGTTTTACATATTTTTCACATTAGCTTAATGCAAATAAAAGCCTTCATCTAGATCAGAAGTTCTCAAACTATGTGCTGGGAACTCCATTCATGTGGACTGTGTGTGGTTGTGGGTTTTTTTTTTTTTTGTTTTTTTTTTTTAAATAAAGCGCTCTTATCCAAAGCATATTACAATAGTTAGCTAATGGTACAAACAATATTTGGAAAGATCATTAAGTGATCCACTGAGACCCTCAGCAATTTTCAAGTTGTCTGTGAGGGGAGAAAAAAGTTAGACTACAAAAACAATCAAGGTACCTCACTTTATTTTCACTTACTTCTGATTACTTATAATATAGGAGGAGGATGAAGAAAAAAGAATGAGAGCGGGAAGAGTGAATGCTCTTTCTTTGTTGGCTTCCCAGGGGGCCCTCCCAAAATGAAGATGAGCACAGGGCCTCACGAACTCTGAATTTCAATGTTGTAACTGTTGGGCTCCTGACAAGGACCCCAGTTTGAGAAACCCTTCTCTCTCTCCCGCTCCCCCTTAAAATAACTAGGTGGCCCCCCAACTCCATTACTCCTTTTTGGGACAAGGACCCCAGTTTGAGAAACCCTTCTCTCTCCCCTGAAATCTGTATAGTATACGGCAATGCTTCTCAAACTTATTTGCACTGCGATCCCCTTCCGACAACAAAAAATTACTATATGACCCCAGAAAACCTAAGTCCTGCTGCCTTATGTTTGGGGACCAATGTTGAAGCCCAAGGATCCCAGGAAGTCTTAACACAGCCCCATTAAAATGTATTCTGACACTCAGTTTGAGAACCGATAGGGTAAAAGTACACCGAAGACCAGATTTCAGTGGGGTGACCAGATTTTATGATTATTGATGGGTTTTTTTATGTCCATGAATTACATAGTACAATAATAATAATGCAGAAGGGTGTGTGTGTGTGTGTGTGTGTGTGTGTGTGTAAGTAAAAATAAGTTATATTGTCTCCTCATATGGTGATAACTTTCTTCCATTCCACTAACATCTTAGAAGTTACTGAAGTTATTTTCAGATCATCAGGTACAGATAATGTTGCATTATAGTTTTTTTAAATAGTTGGCATGAGGAAGTGGTTGGACCATTAATGTTGATTTTTCAATAAGTCTTGGAATACTGAGATGGTTCCAGAAGACTGAAATAAAGTTAATATAACCATTTTTTTAAAAGGGCAAATGGAATGAGGTGGGTAATTATGGGTGTCTCAGCTTGATGGTGATCTTGGGCAAGATTATGGAGTAGATGATGCAGGACTCAATTACATTACCCTCCCTTAAGGAAGAATTAATGTAAATAGATTGTCAATCTAATTTGATATTTTTGATGAGATTACTAGTTCTGACAATAAAGGTTATAGTATTGATGCAACAGCCTTAGACTTTTTAAGCATTTGATTTTGGTATTGCATGACATTTTGATTTTAAAAAACTTAGACTGATGTAAAATCAACATGGCACACATTAAATTGATTTAAAAGTTGGCCAACCGATAAGTCTCAAAATGGGGTGGAGTCATTGAGCAGATGTTCCCAATGGGATCATGCCAGTTCTTGTATCTCTACTGTTTATTGTTTTTTATTAGTGATATGGAAAAAATATAAAGCTTGCAGATAACTCAGTCTGGGGGAATGGTAAATATTGAAATGGAGAGGTAACTGAATCGTTTGGGTGTAAGCAAATAATATGAGTTTTAGTATGTCTAATGTATACATTTGGGAAAAAAGAAGGTAGGCCATACATATAGGATGAAAGATTCCATGTTGGGAAGCAGACAATCTGAAAGATTTTTTTTTTCATGTGGTGAATAATTAGCTAAACATGAGATTCCAGTGTGATGCTGAAGCCAAAAGAAATAATGTGATCCTGGGATGCATAAATGGGTGGACTCTTAAGTAGAAGTAGAGAGGTTATTTCAGCAGAGCAACCACTGCTGAAATCTGTCCAGTTCTGGTGCCCATAATTTAAGAAGGGTGTTGGTAAATCCGAGAGACTAGCCATGAGAATTACAGCATTAGAAGACATACCTTCTGGTGATGGGTTCAAAGAGGTCCGTGTATTTAGTTTAACAGAGAAGATTAATGGGTAACTTGATAACAGTGTGTAAGGGGAACAGGTATTTAACAATGGCTCTTCAGTCTAGTGTCAAAGTCCAGTGGCTGGAAGGTGAGGAACAGTGAGGAATTATCCTCACTAACAATTTTTAAATCAAGGTTGAATGTTCTTAAGCAATGCTGTAGGAGTGTGAGAATTATTATGGAAGTTTTATGGCCTATGTTATACAGGTGGTCAGAGTAGATGATCACAATGGTTCCTTCTGGCCTGGGAATCTATGGGTGCATCTACATAGCATCCGAAACACGAAATAAGCTATGCAATTTGCACTACACAGATTGCGTAGCTTATTTCGAGTCTCTTTCGAAGTAGCTTATTTCATCATTTGGTACACTCTACACAGCACCAAATTCCGAAATAAAGTGCTATATATATATATATATGCACTAAAGGTTCCCTAGTATGCTTTAAGATACTGCAGTTTGAAACAGGATTATGTTAAACTGTACTAAGGAAGATTAGAAAGAGATTACGCATTACTCTATATACTAATGAGCCCTGAAAACCCTTGATTTATGGACATCTATATAAAACTTAAATTGCTAAAAATAACCCTGAAAAATAAAATTAATAATAATAAAAAATAGAAGTGTGAACACTGCTGCATTTGATGTTCCATTTTATTCTAATCTAACTAATTCTACATTTTGTAGGTATCTTTGCTACCAGAAAATGACAGGTGGAGTGAAACTAGGTCCCAGCTGCTTGCACAGATGGACGTTAGTATGGGAGGGAGAGTAGCAGAAGAACTCATATTTGGAAGTGATCACATCACTACAGGTCAATTGAGATGCATGGTTAAAGAATCTTCTATCCATGGATATTAAGTTTTTATGTAAACTTCAAGTTAGCTGACTAACTTACATTTTGTTTTTAATATCTAGGTGCTTCCAGTGACTTTGACAATGCTACTAAAATAGCAAAGATGATGGTGACTAGATTTGGAATGAGTGAGAAGGTAAGATCATATTAGTTTTAATAGACCTACAGAATCGTAGCAATTTCAGTGATTCCACACCTTTTATGTGCACACAGCTGTCAAATATCAAGCTGTACAGAGATCAAGAAATGTTGTTGACTAGTGATAACCTAGTGATTTGGCTAATTTGAAATACATGCTGTCTTGTAATCTTCATACAATTGATTTTCTTTTTGAGTTCTGTACACTTGACACATCAACTTATTGCTTATGCTTGCTCAAAGATTTTTTTCTATTGCAAAAATTAATGTTCTAAAAAAATTGAAGATAATCTTAAGGATTCATTCTTTGGAAGCAAATCTCAGCTGACGTGGAAAGGGGATGGAGAGAAATGAGTTTTGCAGATTTTTAGACACACAGTATTATATGGGAGATTTTGAAAAAACAAACATTTCAGAGTATAAGAATGGCCAATGCCAGGTGCCCATGAGGGAATAACCAAACAGGTAATGATCAAGCCATCTCTCTCCTGCTATCCTTCTCCATCCTCTGACAAACAGAGGCTAGGGACACCATCCTGGATAATACCATTAATGGACTTAACCTCTATGAATTTATCTAGTTCTCTTTTAAACCCTGTTATAGTCCTAGCCTTCACAGCCCCCTCAGGCAAGGAGTTCCACTGGCTGACTGACTGCGCTGTGTTAAGAACTTTCTTTTATTTGTTTTAAACCTGCTGTCCATTAATTTCATTTGGTGGCCCCTAGTTCTTATATTATGGGAACAAGTGAGTAACTTTTCCTTAATCACTTTCTCCACACCACTCACGATTTTATATACCTCTATCATATCCCCCCTTAGTCTCCTCTTTTCAAGCTGAAAAGTCCTAGTCTCTTCTCTCCTCATATGGGACCCATTCCAAACTCCTAATCATTTTAGTTGCCACACTCTGAACCTTTTCTAATGTCAGTATATCTTTTTTGAGATGAGACCACCATATCTGTACGCAGTATTCAGTATGTGGGCATACCATGGATTTATATAAGGGCAATAAGATAGTCTCTATCCCTTGTTTAATGATTCCTAACATCCTGTTTGCTTTTTTAACTGCCGCTACACACTGCATAGATGTCTTCAGAGAACTATCCATGATAACTCGAAGACCTCTTTCCTGATTAGTTGTAGTTAAATTAGCCCCCATCGTATTGTATGAATAGTTGCGGTTATTTTTTCCAATGTGCATTACTTTACATTTATTCACATTACATTTCATTTGCCACTTTGTTGCCCAATCACTTAGTTTGGTGAGATCTTTTTGAAGTTCCTCACAATCTGCTTTGATCTTAACTTACCTTCAGCAGTTTAGTATGGTCTACAAACTTTGCCACCTCACTGTTTACCACTTTCTCCAAATTATTTATTAATAAGTTGAACAGGATTGGTCCCAGGACTGATGCTTGGGGAACACCATTACTGACCCCTCTCCATTCTCAAAATTTACCATTTATTCCTACCCTTTGTTTCCTGTCTTCTAACCAGTTCTCAGTCCATAAAAGGCTCTTCCTTCTTATCCTATGACAACTTAATTTATGTAAGAGCCTTTGGTGAAGGACCGTGTCGAAGACTTTCTGGAAATCCTAAGTACACTGTATCTACTGGATTCTCCTTGTCCATGTGTTTGTTGATACCTTCAAAGAACTCTAATAGATTAGTAAGACATGATTTCCCTTTACAGAAACCATTTTGACTTTTGCCCAACAAATTATGTTCTTCTATGAGTCTGACAATGTTATTCTTTACTATTGTTTCAAGTAATTTTCCCAGTAATGACATTAGACTTACCGGTCTGTAATTGCCAGGATCGCCGCTAGAGCCCTCTTTAAATATTGGCGTTACATTAGCTATCTTCAAGTCATTGGGTACAGAAGCTGATTTAAAGGATAGGTTACAAACCATAGTTAATAGTTCTGCAATTTCACATTTGAGTTCTTTCTCAACTCTTGGGTGAATGCCATCTGGTGCCAGAGACTTATTACTATTAAGTTTATCAATTAATTCCAAAACCACCTCTAATGACACTTCAATCTGTGACAATTCCTCAGATTTCTCACCTACAAAAAACAGGTCAAGTATGGGAATCTCCCCAATATCCTCAGCTCTGAAGACTGGAGTAAAGAATTCATTTAGTTTCTCCATAATTACTTTATTGTCTTAAGTGCTCCTTTTGTACCTCAATCATCCAGGGTCCCCACTGGTTGTTTAACAGGCTTCCTCCTTCTGATGTACTGAAAAAATGTTTGATTACCTTTTGAGTTTGAGACTAGCTGTTCTTCACATTCCTTTTTGGCTTATTACATTTTTACACTTAATTTGGCAGTGTTTATGCTCCTTTCTATTTACCTCACTAGGATTTGATTTCCACTCTTTAAAAGATGTCTTTTTATCTATCATTGCTTCTTTTACTTGGTTGTTAAGCCACGGGGCTGTTTTTTAGTTCTTTTACTGTGTTTTTAAATTTGGGGTATACATTTAAATTAAATTTCAAAGGGTTCTTTGTATTTACCTTATGAAAATATAGCCCTGCAGTGGTGTTATAGTTTGTTTTGGCTTGTGACTCTTTGCCATATTTATTATTATAGATGTATATATTATCTAGCAGTTTTGTTTGCTGATCTGTATGGTAGATAAGCAAGTGGGTGATGCATCTCTCTCATACAAAAATAGCAAGAGTATCAGTGTTTTATACAAATGATTTTTCTTGTCTTGTTATTCTCTTTAGCTTGGTGTCATGACGTACTCAGATACAGCAAAACTCAGTCCGGAAACCCAGTCTGCAATTGAACAGGAAATAAGAACGCTTCTAAGGGTAAGATTTGTTGCCTGTTATTGTTCAGCCCATCTCTTAAATAGGATAAGTAAAGATAATGAATTACTGATTATAGTGGTTTCTTTGCAATACACAGTATTGTGTTTGACCTTGTGGATGGAAATGTTCTTAAAAATGCAGCCAAGTCCAATTTAAATAAAATCCAGTCTTTTCAGATTTAATCCATTTGAGGAGTGAGCTTTGTATTTAGTCAGTCTAAACAGTGTGGCATAGACAGGGTAGATTTTGATATCCAAGTATACTGGATGCATTTCACGTTAATACACACCTCTGTCTTCAGAGTGATACAATGCTTTAACTGAGTACCTTCAAATTAATTAATGGGGAAGTTCTACTAAATACCTTCTAGTTATCTTTATTAGAATAGATTGTGATTTTGTGTTATTTTCACACTATCTTATAACATTCACTCAAGTAATTTAATAGAATTCTTTTCAGTCTGTGACTTCCAGACCAGAGTTCTAGTTTAGAGTATCTACTACCATTTTTTCAAATTTTTACTACTTGGTGAGCATTTGAGGGAGGCTTGGTGGTTAAATTATGAATATAAGTGATTATTCTAACTCTTAATAGCACTAGTATAATTGAGATTCAGATCTATTATATTTAAAATAGTATATGGGGATTTTCAGAATACATATTATGTAGGGATGTTAGCAAATAGTAGACTGTATGACTAACTGATTCGCCTAGGCTTGGTTGATCTTGTCGACTACACACATTCCCCTCTCCCTTCTTCCCCTGGCTCCCCTCCTCCCCCCCTCCGCCGACTGGCTGCCTCTGAATGAGAAACAGCAAGGGAGAGGGTAGGAGCAGGAGCAGAGTCATCTTAAAAGCCTCTGAGGCAGCAGCATAGGAGGATGGGGAGGCTGCCGTGATGAGCCTGGGAGGCCAAGCATTCTCTCTCTACAGGGAAGCTCTCCCCTTTCCCCGTTAATGAATGGGGAAGGTGCCATCCCACGCTGCTGCCACTTTATCGGAGGCAGCAGCGTGCGGCAGTAGGTAGCTGGTCTGTGTGGGGAGCTGACTTTTAAACTGGCTCCCCTCAAGGACCAGCTCCCACCTGGCAACCCTCACTGCTGCCTTTCAGGGGGCTCCCCAGAAGTGGGGCCAGAGTGCACTGGCTGCTGGCCCCATACCCAGGGACTATCAAGTAGTCATGTAACTGATAAAAATTCATGCAGTTACTCAACTATTCAGTTATCTGATCTCTAACGTCTATAGTATTAGTATGATAGTCTTGCTATATTTTTCTAATCCTCTATTTTCAATGGCTAATCATTTAGAATTTTTGTGAGTAATTAAAAAATTGTCTAAAAGTAAATTGAGGTTGTTTAAAAGGTATATTAAAGTAAAAGAAAAATCAATGAACAGAAAAAAAACTTTAGATTGTAACTTCTTTGGGGCTTGGGCACATTTTGAAAGAGACAACTACATTTGTAATTGTATTGTATAAGTATTTTAAAAAGTTAAACCCCTTTATTGTGCTCTGATAACTCTCAGTGCTTCATTTTAAAACTTGATATGTATAGTAGTAATCTTGGAGGAATCTTAGTCATTTGGTTTCCAAATTTACTAAAAACACAATGTAATTGCAAAATGTAGGTCTGCCAGGTTGCTTCGTAATCCTACACATAGACACTGGTTTTGTAAAGACTTAACATAGGTGTAAAATTATATACACGAGAGAACCATTGGAGTCTGTGGGATTCTAATCATAAGCATAAAATACTGCAAGTGCTCAAGTTTTTGCACAATCAAAGCTGTACTTCAGAGTGAACTGAAAGGACATTTCTCACAGGTGTTGTGCACCCTTTCTTAGCAATGTATTTGAACTGAAGGAGGAAAACAAAATGTACTTGTATCATTTTCTTAATTTTTTCTGTTCTGAATTTTTTAAAATTTCTTTTTATATTAGGACTCATATGAACGAGCAAAGAACATCTTGAAGATCCATGCAAAAGAACACAAGAATTTAGCAGAAGCTTTATTGACATATGAGACTTTGGATGCCAAAGAAATCCAGATAGTTCTAGAGGGGAAAAAACTAGAAGTGAGATAACAACTTCCTTTATGGAGTCTAGCTGATAATTTGAAGAATGTACATCTAGCAATGCAATTGTCTGAGTGCAGCATAGCTTTTTTCCCCAATGTGTGTATATTATTAATGACATTTCTTAGTGTTATGCATTGTCTTGACCTTCTGTTACAATTGTCTAATTTTTGTCTTTGTTCAGAAAGAAAGACAAGAAATAAACTAAGTTCTCACAGGGAAAAAAATCAAATACAGAAACTCAGGGTTGAACCCACCTTGTTTGGAGACCTCAGTCAAATGTTAAAATTGGAAGAAGAAAAAGTGAACTCTCGACCGTGTTCAAGCATATTTTCCTTGATTATGCTGCTGTGGATTTGAAGTGGTGCCACCTTAATATGTACAGTATAAAATTTGTAGAAACTGAGTCCTTAACTGCTAACGTTACCGAACTAGTGATTTTATGTTTACTAATAAAGTACAGTTTAAAAAACCACTGTTCCTGCTCCAGAAATACAACAAACTCAGCTGTTAAATGGATGGATACACAATGCATCCCTAGTACAAGAAATTATGGGGGTCCCTACATAGATGAACTGTTAATTGAGAATTCATTGCTCTTAAGATATACACATGTATATTAGTGACTCAACATTTTCAACAGATTACTTGGGCAATGATGGGATACACCTGTTTAAAATACTTTGGACCATGCTATAAAAAGTAGTGTTCATGTTGACAAAACTATGCCAGGGATGGGAAACAGAAATGCCGGGCTGTTCACACCTGGTGTACTGCTGACAAGGTTATCTTACAAACTTCATAAAGGCAATACATGAGTGTGATTTAATAGCTATGCTTTTAAACTGTTGGAGATATTATTGAATTAGTTTTTACTAATTGTGTATGGGCTTTTTGATAAACACATAAAAGATTTCTTCCAAGAGGAGACTAAGTGTTACTCAACGAAAAGAGTACTTCAGAAGCAAGAGGCTTATTTAAAAAAAAATCGTTACTTGTTCCGTAAACAGTGAGACTTTTTGCTTGAAATTCTACACATTTTAATTCATATAAATACACTCAGACATTTTAGTGCCAGAAGAAAGTCTAAAAGATACTGCTAGCAACAAGGTTACAATCAAGCACAAATTCTTGCAAGCAGCATCTTGCTCCAGCCAGGTCCAAGGAATAATTTTTAGGAAAATTAACACTTGCCGAATAGAAGTGTATCTCTGTACAATTATAAAAAAATTATACATTAGACACTTTTCTGTCCAAGAGAAAAGGCTTTTATTAGAATACTAACATTTAAGGTTAAATAGGGGTAAAAAATAGTGCCAATAAACATGAAAAGCACTGAAATAAGTTGGTAACTAATGTAAAATTAACATTAACACAGAATTTTATTGTAAGTAGAACATTGGGCTTGATCAGTTATTTTTATTAGAAAATGCATTTTCCTTTCCTTTCAAAGCCAGTGCTGCAATACCACTTATTTCTATTTTCTATGTTGCTTTCATTCAGTCAGCATAATACCATGGCATCCCTAATGCAGTATGGAGGAACCTGAAGACATTTACTCTAAAAAGTATATCAAGCTATTAGAGAGATAGGTTACAGATGTATATGCATTTTAAGAACGTGTTCAGAAACATGCAAAAATGACGTGGTCGGCATCCTTTTTTGGAATAATAAAGGTTCATATTATGCACTTTGCTTTTTTTCATTTATTCTTTCACTGTATATTGCTCTAAAGTGTAATATTTCCCACTTATGTAAATCGAGGTATATAAAACATGCTTAAATTTGTAAATAAATGTAACCATTATGGCAAACTTGTACTTTCTTCAGTTATACAATTAAAAAGTGCTTTTTTCTGAAACACTCAAACTTTAATTCCTTACATTGTTACTTTTAGTAATGAGTTGACGTAGAGGGACATTTCTTTTTGTTTGGTGAATTATATGAATTGTTTAAAAAACAATTTTGTGGGTTTATATGATCAAAAGTTACTATTTGGTAAATTCTCCCATTTTAAATCCCTTTTACAAAAGCCCATGTTGTATTAAGCTGTATTAATGAAGTATGGATGAACATGGTTTCCTCTGAAATCTCAAATGCTACTCCATGCACTCATGAGAGAAAATTTGAAAACTGATGGTCATTCTGTCTTTTTAATAACACTGTAAAAAATCCGAGATACTCAAATGTTCTTGTTTTATTTCATTTGTAACAACTGAGTTCCTGTTTTGTGTGTGTGATATTTGTAGTTTGTCTCAGTAATTTAGTTCCTGGGGGAGGAGAGGAGAAATGATCTGTCCATGTACTGATGAATCTTGGAGAAACATGGAGAAACCTGTTTCACAGTGTAGTATTTGTGATTGTGGAAAACTCACACAGTATTGAAAGCACTTAATTGTTAAAAAAGAACAGATAGGGTAGAAGGGTGCCTTTATTACAGGTACTTGTTCTGTCTTGGACTGCCCCAACCCGGGTTGCGAGTGAGTAACAAATCCCAATCACACCTTTTTATCTTAGTATGTGTATATATAGCTAATTTACTAATGTGAAATCCATATAATGCATAATCATAACCATGTGATGAATTATACCTGTTCCTATTTACTGTTTACAGCTTTTTAGTTGATGTAAGCAGCTTTCACATTAGGAAACTCCTGCAATCAGCAACTTACAAGGGGGAAAGAATATGTGACCCTCATTTACTTCAGAACAAATGAGAACAGATAAGTGGGTAAGGAGGATAGCATGGTTATATTATGAGTACAGCTGTAGCTTTTCTATCCTGAGCAAGCAGAGAAGGAGGAATCAAAACAAGTCTGTAACTCCATATTAGCAGGGTCTGCCTACACGGTTCCTCATTCCCATGGTCACATTTACCAAAAGCCCTTATTTAACCCGTATGCCAACATGAGGGCTCTCCTCCATTTTTCAGTTTTACTCTCTCTGTAAAAACTTGTGTTGGTGGTGGTTGAACCTCCAGACAAAGAAGGTGGGGGAGGCAGAAATGATGGGACGTTTTGTCCATTTTTAAGAGTTTGGACACCTACAGCAGGGCTTAAATACAGGACTGTCCCTTTAAAAACAGGATATCGAGTTATTCTGGCTCTCACTCGTTTCTGCTTCCTACTTTAGGTGCTCACACTTCCCTATCACACTGAGCGGGAAAGGAATCCAGGAGACTGGATCACATGTCAGATTTTACTTCAATATGACAGTACCAAAGTTTATAGTCAAAGAAAAAGTTTAATAAAACCCATAGATGTAAGTTCTACTGAACAAGAGAAAAAAGACAGGTCTGGTTAAACAAAACACACCACCTACGCTCTAAAATTTAATTTAGCAAATTATAATCTGCATATATAGCCCCCCAAGTCAGAGGATTCAACATTCACAGAATTAGAGGGTGCTCTCTCCTTTGTTCCCTGGGTTGGATAGCTAGAATGTCTTTTTGCTCGCTTTATATTTTCCAGAGTCCATGGTCTGTGTCTCAATAGTCAGGAATACTCTTTCAGAGAGCAGACTCATACCTGTGTAGTGACACGTTTCTCCCACAGCTTGCTAGCTTCTATGCTTTCCTTTACCAAAGGCGGGCTTGATTTTTCAACTGCCTCCAAAATATATTTTAAGGACTTAACCCCAGCAGAAGAATATAACTGTTGATATACAACCCACACATTTATCACACAATGATATGCCTGACCTACACACTACAATTTTAGATAGAACACCACATAAGATACCGTTTAGATATATATTATGGCTATGGTGTACTGGGAGTAGTGAGTGTGTCTGGCCCGATATGAGTTATAATATAGTGTGCCCTCTGCTACTAGGTATACTGCCAGGACAGACAGGTCTCCACAGTATGGTTAATAGTTTGTGTTTGCCCTCTAATATTAATGCATTGTTAGTATTCATCCATAGCCTCCCAAATTCACAGAAACAACACATCCTCTCTCAAGGGTCATGGTCTTTCAGGAGACATCCACCCAAATACCCATGTGTTGTAGCCTGATCTAAAGATTCCTAGTTATCACTTTGACAAGTTCTTGTGCAAAGTTCAGGCCCAGTCAGATTATTATTACAATAATATTATAATGGAAGCCCCAACCTATCTTTTATGGAGCAGGTTCCCCATAATGTGCTGCACAGCATGGTCTCAAAAAGAGCATTCCCTTGTGAGTGGACTCAACTGTCACAGGGACCAGTGATGACCTCTCCCCAGCCTCTTTCAACCTAACACAGAACATCACTTAGCCTACAACTTTAGCTCTACATCCTGAAAGAGGGATTTTTCCCAACATTTGGCCCTGTGTAGACAGGCCAAATGTCAGAGTAGCCTCTTTTGGAAGAAAAGGGAAAAATATGCAAATTGTGGTTTGCGATTTGCGTATCTTTTTCAGACTTTTCTTTGTGGTGTAGATAAAGCCTAGGTGTTAAACCTTAAAAGTACAAAATTGACATTTTCTACAATGCTAATATAAATCTGTAGATTAATGTTGTGAAATGTTCAACATGGTCTTTTTGGTTGATATGCTGTATTTTAAATTTTATGTACATTTATGGACAATCTGGATTTATTTTACCTTCCTCATGTAGCTGTTCCATTTTTTTGGGGGGGGAGGGGTAAACTATCACGGTATTATTCTGAAATATTCAGGAACTGATGTCACGATTTTGAGAACCTGGACTGAAATTGGAGTAGAGGTAGTCACTGTTTGGTTTTTCCATTCCAATATCATTACGTAGTCTAATATCATTGGCTCCTTCACTACAAGTCTGGTTTTCATAACACCCAACATTCTGTGTGTTACTAAAGGAGTTCCTAATTTCTCCTGTTATTTTTTTAATTTACTCTTTTGTTTGATCTGCTACAAATGTCAACAAATGTTAAAAATACTGGAATAAAAACAAGACCATGAAGAGCTCCAAAGAAGATAACGAGAAACATAATCTTAAAAAATGTTCTGAAGATGTAAGCTTTTGATGCAGCTAGTGCAAGTACTCCTAATACAGTGGAGATAGCACCTTGTATCACAGGGTAACCAAGAAGATGCAGTGCATCAACTGCCTTCTCATTCGCAGTTGACTTTTCACTTGAAACAAATGCATTGGATATATGAGCAGAAAAATCTACTGAAAACCCTATGCAAATGACAAGGTTGATCATAGATATGGAATCAAGATTAACATCCCAATATGCCATGAAACCAGCAACACCAACAATAACAGAAGCAATAGCAAAAGTTACCCACAAGGAGCACAGCGGATTGGGAATAAGCAGCAAGGAAACACACAACATAACTCCAGCAGCAATTCCAATATTCTGAATGGTGTTTGGCACTATTACAATATACTGATCATAGTATATAAATGCTGGGTGATATACCATTAATGGCATCTCACAGTTTTTGGCTATGTCTCTTAATTGGTTTAAAAGGTTTTTCTCATCAACTGCAGTAGTAACATTGACTGTTTGAATGAAGAAGCGTGAGGCTGCTATTTCCCGATAGCTAATATCAATGTCCCATTCAAACTCTGGAAATAATGTAAATAGTCGAGATAAATTACCCATGAAAAAAGCCTTACTATCTATATTCAGGGAATTATTTCTAGCAGCATTTTCATACGCTCTTAGCCATGACTCTGAGAGACTCTTGTCCACATAGGAGTTATTTTCTAAAGACTGCATACAATTCTCAATGTCATTACGAACGGATGCATTCCAATAAAGTACCTTTTTTGTGATGATGACCATAACCCTGGGCCCGTACTCTGAGAAATATTTATTTTCCCAGTCATAGTACTGAATGACATAAGAATCATCACTAGCCAGATTGCGCAGGTCTATACCTTCTTTCATTTTAGTACATCCATAAATACTACTTGCCAGGAACGCTCCATACAGCAAAACCACAAACATTTTGGTCCAGGTCTTTGTAAGGAAAGGACCATAATATTTTCTAAAGAATTTGTTCACTGGATGTTCGCCACCTGTCCCAGAAGATTTATCAGAAAAGCCTCCTACACAGCACACGTTATACAAGCGAGAGCGATTAGGCTGAACAGTGTCCTTCACTTTTGTGCAAATTAGCCAGTGTCTGTTGCCTTCTTCCCTTTTCCCATTTAAAGCAAGAACAGCTCCTAAGAATGTGATGTTGTATACATAGCAGAAAATGAAAGCAGTTCCTGTGTAGAGACAAAAGGACTTCACAGACTGAAAGGAAGTCATGATCCCTATGTAGAAGGCTAAAACATCAGTGAGCGTGGTGATTGTGATAGACACTGCTGCCTCTGCATACGTTTCAGCCATTCTCTTTTCAACTTTGTTTTTAGTATTTGTCAGTTGCCAGCAGGAGACCATAATAAACATGTCATCAACACCAACCCCTACAAAAGGGAAAGGGTTAATAGCTTATTGTACAGACCATCCACCTTAGTTTCTAATAGAAAATTGCAAAATGCTAATTAAGAAAGTGAAGTCAGTAAATGCAATGAAGAAAGCTGAGCAATAAGCACTGTATTGACAAGAAGTGAAGTTAGAAAATAAACATGCCTCTCCACATCCACATATGACCTAATGTATTATATTTCCCCACGTGCCTTGCCTTTAGGTGAGATTTCTCTCTCAGCAAATTTTTCTGAAAGAGGAGCATGACTGAGACAATAAGATATATCCCTCATTCATGCTATGGAAAATACAGAACAGCATTCAGGAGCATGGATCCACTTCCAATCTCACAATGAACTGAATGGCTTTCTTGTGCTGTATCTTCCTCTATGACCAGAGAGAACTGAGTCCTCATTTTGGACATTTTGCACAGCTGACCACCAAAATGGGTGAACCCCGTGAAAATGATCCATTTACTCAGTGGTCTTATCTTTTAATTGTGCTGATTCCTGATTCATGCCATGTAAAAATGGTCTTTTGGCTGGCACATTTTGCATTTCACTTTTTCATCATGCCCTTTTTTCCCCTAACTTACCCAGTATAAGAAATGGTGCATTTGCTACAGTCACAACAAATGGGACCCCACAGAACAGCAACAGTCCAAAGCTGCTTAGCACAGCTAACCCCGAAGACAGCACTCCAAATGCCGCAACCCACACCATATTTCGTACACAGTCAATCCTGTAAAATCAAGCAAAAAGCATCTTATTTAGCTTTTCCATGCCATGTAATAGCATTCAAAATCCTTCTAATATAATCAATTATAAGTATCACGTTTTATGACACTAACTTTGAAATCACGATTCTCATTAATATTTTCCTAAGAGCATCAGGAACAAACATTTTAAAATCTCACCATGTGCCAAATCGGTCCTCAATTTAACCTGCACAATCATGATGTGGTTGCATGAGTTGAACTGATAGCAGAATTGTTGTACCTCTCTCTTCTACTATTGCACAACAATGGGTAAAAGGCCAAAGTATTACGAAGCCACCTACTGAGATACAAAGATTGTCAAACTATTGCTGATTATGTAAATCTCAACCAGATCCTCTTCTTTCAGCTTTCTTTGCCTCTTTGCCTAGAAATGTGGAATCCTTTCTCCTACTTCTCTTTCCTTCTATCTTGCAAGGATAATAAGGAAAAAAGAGAAGA